CATCACTTATTTGGAGAGCCGCACCACAGAGACCTTATGTTAATAAGATTCCAAATCCAGTTAATGTTCTAGCCAGCTCCAGTAGCTTACAATTTTGGTTTGATTGTAACATTAGAAATTTACAAGCCTTGCACATGTTTTATCACCTTTTACCAGACTAGGTGGCAATTATGTAATTTTTCACATGATCCTGGTGTATTTTATTATGAAAGCAAATTAAGTATTTATCCTTCAGGCAGGATATCTCCAGAAAATATTTCTTTAATTTTAATTTAAAGATAATAGCATTGATTTCAGCTTACTGCTATATCCTTTCTCAGTTGTGAATGGTTCTTTTTCTCTTTCTCCAATAGTATCCCTTTTCTTCTTATAAGCTCTTTTGTGTTATGTATCTGGGCCTTAAAGTTGTCAGTTTCTTTCTAAAAACAACATAACACATACCATTGTTATATTTAACACAGCGGCCAAACATATGTAAACATATACTGTATAAAGTATTGTAAAAAATAAATAAAATGCAAAAAAGACATAATACCTATATGGTACTTATATGGACTCACTTTCATTTTTCAAGTTTTTTTTATGTGTTGTTCATTTTTCATTAATTACGAGAGTCAAAATATCATGTGGTCCAACCATGCAATTCTGAAAATTTATTTTAAATTGATTAAAAATCCTTTTTTTTTATTAGTGTTTTGCATTACTGTGCATGTACATACCTTTCATAATACAACTAACAAAGTTGAAGCTGTTCATTTTACAAAATATCATCTGGTACAATCATCAAGAAAAGACCATTTTGAGACTTTTATATTGAAATTCGGTGATAAAAAGCAACAATCATACAGCAACATCATACAGCAAGGTTACTTGGAAACATCTAGGAGGTTTCCAAGTCAAACTTGGAAAAATTTCACCTTTTCACTACATGTAGTTTTTCCATAGAGCTCAAGAAAGCAATTAAAATTAAATTCTATCTACTAGAAAAACATTGCCTGGTCTTTTTCCAAACTGTCAAGTGTTGATGACCCTGTGTCCACTGTAGCCTTCTTGGCTTACTAATACATTCACTCAGTCAGTGATCTCCATTAATTACATACAAACATTCCTTTCCCGCATACAACTCTTCCTTGTCTGTCCCTATTTAATATTAGGTTCATCGTTAATAGTTAGTTAGTGTTTATTCTTTTCTATTTTAATAAATGCTATATTATTGAACATCTTATTGCCTTGGTGTGGGTATTACTTTGATAACGCAAGACGTCAAACTATTTAGTAAGCCTTCAGAAATTCATTGATTATTATTGTTTCAATTAAAATTGAGGTTTTAATAGTTTTTACTTATTAAAAGGTTGCTAATTTTAATTTCTAATAAAATTCTAAACTTAAAAAGTGGATATTCTCTGAGACTGATTAACTAATGAGACTGATTTAATGAGACTGATTAATTAAATTTACAGTGAAACATATTGCTGGTATGTACCTTGCATTTCCAGTGCTTCCTGTATAAACAGTACAATTTCCCCTATACAGTGGCATATAAACTAGATGTCCTACCTCAGGTTGGCTCCTTTTGTCAGGTTGAGCGTGCACACAACTCTCTCTGCTCTGTCGTACTAAATACAGACAGGATCTCTGTTTAGCATCTTCTTCAGTGGAATACCCAATAACTTCGCTTTCAAATGTCTTTTATATTCCTCAAGTTTGAAGTGCTTGCTGCACGTTTGTAAAAAATATATATATACACTGATCAGCCATAACAATAAAACCACTTGCCTAATATTGGTTGGTCCCCTTTTTGCTGCCAAAACAGCTCTGACCTGTCGAGGCATGGACTCCACAAAACCTCTCAACGTGTGCTGTTGTATCTGGCACAAGATGTTAGCAGCAGATCCTTTAAGTCCTGTAAGGTGTGAGGTGGGGCCTTGATGGATCCAACTTGTTTGTCCAGCACATCCCACAGATGCTCGATCGGATTGAGATCTGGGGAATTTGGAGGCCAAGTCAACACCTTGAACTCTTTGTCATGTTCCTCAAACCATTCCTGAATAATTTTTGCTGTGTAGCAGGGTGCATTAACCTGCTGAAAAAGGCCACTGCCATTAGGGAAGGGCTGTATTTGGTCTGCAACAATGTTTAGGTAGGTGGTACGTGTAAATGTAACATCCACGTGAATGCCAGGACCCAAGGTTTCCCAGCAGAACATTGCCCAGAGCATCACACTGCCTTCGCCGGCTAGCCTTCTTCCCATAGTGCATCCTGGTGCCATCTCTTCCCCAGGTAAGCGACACATGCACCCGGGCCTCCACATGATGTAAAAGAAAATGTGATTAATCAGACCAGGCCACTTTCTTCCATTGCTCCATGGTCCAGTTCTGATGTTTACGCGCCCATTGTAGGCACTTTTGGCGGTGGACAGGGGTCAGCATGGGCACTCTGACCGGTCTGCGGCTACGCAACCCCATACGCAGCAAGCTGCGATGCAATGAGTTCTGACACTTTTCTATCATAGCTAGCATTAACTTTTTCAGCAATTTGTGCTCCAGTACCTCTTATGTGGGATCGGATCAGACGGGCTAGCCTTCACTCTCCATGTGCATCAGTGAGCCTCGGGCACCTATTATCCTGTTGCTGGTTCACTGGTTGTCCTTTTTTGGACCACTTTTGGTAGATACTAACCACTGCATACCCCACAAGACCTGTCGTTTTGGAGATGCTTTGACCCAGTCATCTAGCCATCACAATTTGGCAGGCTCTTCCTGTTTTAAGAGTGTCAGAGTGAAATGCCAGAGTGACATGTCTCACTCAGAGGTCTGAATTGGTTGCTGAAGTAGGGATTACCAATGGTGAATTATGTATTTGCACAATGCATGCTGGGTATTCTACTGTAGTTTCACTACTCCTCAGTGGCACTATTAGTTCCTAACTCCTCTGTGCATACCAAAGTTTGGTGTTCCACAAAGTTCTGTTCTAGGCCTATTGCACTTTACTCTACATGGTACAATTATTCTGGGTACAATTATTCATTATTCATAGCAATGCCAGACAGCAGGCACCAGCTTAATAATGTTGAGGAATGTTTAAAGGACACTGGATGCTGAGTAACTTCCTTCTACTCACTTCTACCAAGACAGAAGTACTTCTACTAAGACCATTGGTAGCTAGATATAAGCCTTCTTATTATGATTATGTAGTAACCATGGATGGCCTTTCAGCTACACCATGTGCAGCAGTGAAAAACTTTGGTTTTGGAGTTGGCTACAATCTATGATTTGAAGCTCATGTAGACAATATTACTAGAATAGCTTATTTTCATTCAGAAATATTGCTAAGACAGGAAGTTTAACCTTTGCTAAGACCTTTATTTAACCTTTTTTGTTACCTTTAGGTTAGACTATTGTAATGCACTGCTGTCAGGATGTTCCATTAGTTGAATAAACCTATAAACAAGGATGTTCCATTAGGTGAACAAACTTTGGTCTTTTTTTATCCACCACGCCTGCTTCGAACAAAAGGTGCAGGCTCTTTTTTAGTACTTAGAATAATGAATACCTATGGTTTCTCTGAACAACATGAGGAGGTCTTTCAAGAGAATCAACATATGGGAAGCTGTTGGGCCAGACAGAATTTCAGGATGCGTATTGAAAATCTGTACTGACCAACTAGCAGTTGTTTTCACATTTTTAATCTGTCTCTAAGCAGTTTATAGTACCAAAGTAGTAATAGTACCTAAGTGTTTTAAAAACACCACTATAATCCCTGTGCCAAAAAAGTTAGCTGTCTTAATGACTACCACTCAATAGATCTAGCTCCCTTAGCAATGAAATGCTTTGAGGGGCTGGTGCTGAGACACAACTACATCCCAGAGACCCTGAGCCCATCGCAGTTTGCCTACTGCCAAAATACTGTAGGTCTACTGCGAGTGCCATATCTTTTACACTAAACACCACAATGGCTCACCTGGAAAACAGAAACTGCTATGCCAGACTGCTATTTCTGGACTATAGCTCAGCGTTTAACATGGTCATTCAAACCATACCTTTCCAACTGATACAGAAGCTACTGGATTTAGGACTCATTCCCACTCAATGCAACTGTATTCTAGACTTCCTCAGTGACAGACAACCAATGTGCAGATAGGTTGTCTGTCACTGCTCTCTGACCCTCCACACGGGTACCCCGCAGGGCAGTGTGCTGAGCCCCTTGCTGTACCCCCTTTCACAGATGACTCTGAAAATTTACTGACGACACTACTGTAGTGGGCCTGATTACAAATAATGATGAGGCAACCTACAGGGAGGAGGTGATACTCCTGGCAGAGAGAACAACCTCTCTCTCAATGTCAGCAAATCTTAGGGTGTGATCACTGACTACAGAAAAAAGTGAGCAGCGCACACACCCATCTACTTCAGGAGAGCTGCTGTGAAGAAGGTCAGCTGCTTTAAATTTCTTCTCAGCTCTACTCTCAAGCAGACAGAGCACACTACAGCTGCCATTAAAAAGGCCCACCAATGACTACACTTTCTGAGGTGCCTGAGGAAAGCCCAGCTGTCCACTTCTTGTCAATTTCTACAGGTGTGCTGTAGAATCCATCCTCACCAGGGGCCACACATCCTGGTACGGCAGCTGCTCGGTACAGTATGAGAGCGCTCTGTAATGGATGGTGACACAATTCTCAACCATACAAGACATTTACTCCACACACTGTGTCAGAAAGGCAGGTCGCATCATGAAAGACAATTCCTGCCATCCTGCATATCCACTTTTCTCCTTTCTGCCCTCAGGTAAAAGACTCAGATCCATCAGCACATGCACCTCAATACTCAGGGACAACTCCTACCCCAATGCCATAAGACTCTCTCCCATAACACAAATAGGGCCTGCTGACACTTACAGTATTTGGCAGACGCACTTATTCAGAGCGACCAACAATTATCTCATTTATACAACTGAGCAGCTGAGGGTTAAGGGCCTTGCTCAAAGGCCCAGCAGTAGCAGCCTGGCAGTGCTGGGATTTGAACTCTCAACCTTCTGACCAGGAGTCCAACAGCTTAACCACTGAGCTACCACTTCCCTTCACTTCATTGGCCAGGACATTCTGCATGGTCACTTTAACAATCATTGCTGCTACATATATATTTTTTATATTCATTTGTACATATTTGGAATTCTTTTATACTTGTGGATTCTCATCTCTTATTTTTATTTTCAAATCATTTTTTTTTTATTTTGCACTAATGTATATTTTTGTAAATGTTAACATCATATGTCTTTATATGTTTATTGTTTTTGCATTGTAAGTTTCTTGTCCCGTCGTGGCTGTGGAGAGGCATCCAATTAAGAATTTCATTGTGCTCAGTACTCTGTACTTGCACATATGACAATAATGCTTGAATCATTGAATCCTTGACAACAGCAGGGGAAAGAGCTTTTTCCTACAAAGCCCCCAAATTTTGGAACAGCCTTCCAATTAGCGTTCAGGACTAAGTCTAGATTGAAAACCTATTTGTTTAGTCAAGCTTTTTGTTAATAGCTTTTCTTTTAGGTACTTCCTCTTAAACCACTACAGGACAAGAGCATACATAATAATCTGTGTTCTAGCTCTCTCTCGCTCCCTACACATATTACTACTGCCGCCTGATGAGATGCTGATGATCCTGACTCTATCCGAAATCCAGTCTTGCTTGATCCATCCTGATGCTCTACTTCTGCTTGGAGCCTCCTTCACCAGAGGAGCACTTTTAGTACGTGCTGATTGCACTTACTAAGAAAACAGTTTATGCTCAAGTCTCATTCATTATTCAGTGGATAATTTCACTTGCTTATAACTGGTTTGCTCATTAGGGATAAATCTAAATTCATGTTTGGATTTCTGTAAAGCTGCTTTGTGACAATGCCCAATATTTTAAGTGCTACATAAATAAAATTGAATTGAATTCAATGAGCAGGTTCCTAATAAAGTGGTCGGTGAGTGTATTATTTGGGTAAATCATGGTTGCACCACATGATGATTTTAAACACCATGGCCGATTCATTTTGATGAAAAAAAGTGCTAAATTCACATAATTGCATGTTTCTATATTAATAATTGTGTACAGAGTATGGGTGTAACAATTGGATGATTTGGATCAATGCATCAGTTTAAAAAATATTGATATTTAAAAGAAATTAATTGAGACAACAATCATAAGTCAATTAGTACTGATTATAACTAATTATAAATCAATTATGATTGATTATAAATTGATTATCAAAAAAAGCACAGACTGGGGTGTAAAAATTGACGTTTAAATAATTTAATAGGCTAGCAAGATTATTTGCCTGTAACTTTGATACTTAACATAGTCCTTCTCTATTTCATCATTCATAGATTAACAGTAGGCCTATCCCAGATTCTGAACAAAGTTGGTTACATATCAATCAGAGGCTACAAAATCAAATTGTATTGTATTGGACAGTAGATTTGGTAGTAATGTCAAATATCATATTATCATATCATTATCATATCATAGATTTGGTAGTAATGTCAAATATCAAATTCATATCATATTGTGTGGAAGCCTGAGGTTTACAACCCTAGTACACAGTATTCCAAATGTCTCAACAATTGCAAGATATATGCTTGATTTTTTCTCATTTTCCCTTCTTTATACGTCAATGACCCATGAAAAATAAGTTTTATGTTACCGTACCTGAGACTGTCGTATAGCATTCCCCTCTGGATTCTGTAATTCCACCTTCAGTTCCTCTCTGTACTCCTTGAGTCTCTTCACCTCTTCCCTTTTTTCAGTCAACTCCTTATGAATAGTTGCATGGCTCTCCATTGCAGAGATAGACATTTTGTAGCTCTCCATTTTATTATGGTAAGTGTTGTACCAAGCCAGCAAGAAATGTGAGCTCTCCAACTGCTCTTCTATGCTGTAGCTGAGTTTCATGTTTTCCAACTGGATCACCTGCATCTCTGTTTGCTGTCTCTCATTTTGCCTGTGTACCTGTTCAATCTCATTAGTGATGCCACTGATTTGTTGCTCCTTCAGTTTAATGTTACTGGAAACAGTGTCATAGCTCTTTACTATCTTTGATAGTGTATCCTGCAGAGTTGTGAAAAACCTATGTAAGATAAACCAACCATGACAGGGTTGCACTGGCCACAAAATTTCACACACAGGGCTCAAGGTAGATAATCAATTTTTTTTTTCCAGTTTAAGAAAGGCAGGGAGGGATGAAAATACCTGTAATTTTGCATTTGGGAAGAGTTATCACTCTTCCCAAATGCAAAATTACAGGTATTTTCATCCCCAGTTTTATTAGGCAAGAAGACTTGCATGATGTTTCTTTTATCTACAATAACTGTCACTCGGCAATAGAAATCATTCACATACAGGGCATTCCTGAAGGTATTCAAATGTATTCCATTTTTATATAAATATATATAAATATATATCCATATAAATATAAATATACACACATACACACACACACACATATATATATATATATATATATATATATATATATATATATATATATATATATATAAATATATATACACATATATATAAATATATATATACACACACACACACACACACACACACATATATACACTGCCCTCCAAAAGTTTGGAAACGCCTGAACAAAATAGGGTTTTTGGGCAAGATCAGCATAAATCCTCTTTAGTTAGTGACCATTTTGCATTGATAATAAGGGACAACATAAACTATGAAAACATATTTTATTAAATAAAAAGTTTATGAACATAAACATGAACATAACATAGAAAAATACTCAAATTTTGGATTCATCAAAGAAATCCCCATTAGCAGCTATTACAGCTCTACATACTCTAGGCATCCGA